GGTTTCGGGGTTGAACCTTTGGCTCTGGGGAAATGGGAAAGCCCCGAACAACTCACCGGGCAACAGAGCCTTGAAGCCTTCAGTTCAAAGCACTGGGCGACGGTTCCTGAGGCAAACTCTTCAGCGTGAGCTGGGTGTATGGCAGATCCCGCGTTTGGCGTTTGGTGTTCAAGGGACAAGGGATGCAGGATCCACTAGGGGTAGGGACAGTCATGGATCCCTGAAGGCATTAAGTCTGTGAGAAGAGCACCGACTGAGGGAACCATGATGGTACGCGTACAGAGTTGCCCCTGGTAAGCCGCATGGACCATGAAAAGGGAAGACGGAAGGGCCTAGGGTCTCTGGTTGGTACATCCCGGAAACTTTCATTTGCTTGCTTGCTTACTTGCTTGCTTGCTTGCTTGCCTTCCCTTGCCTTGCCTTGCCTTGCCTTGCCTTGCCTTGCCTTGCTTGCTTGCTTGCTTGCTTGCTTGACTTGCGCAAGGCCACGTGAGGGTCTCTCAAAATAGTGATCCCTTAAACTGGACGGCTGCCTTTTGGGTTGTTTTGAATAAAACCCAACACAGAAAAAGGGGGCTGTGTTGAGAAAACTCCACCGTCAAGCCATGCTTCTGGTCTTTGCTAAAGCGAACCGGCGCAACTATCATCTCTTGAGTTTTGGCCTGGTCAGTCGGCAAGAATAGGTTTGGTTCCAGTGACCTGGTTGATTCAATGAACTGGGCTTCAAGAATCCGTCAATATATTCAGAAGCTCTCTTTGCTGTCGACCAGGTTCTTGATCCCCAAATAGTGACATGGGCACAGCCAACCCCCAGTCAGCTCGGGGTTTAACGGGAATTCTGGGTTGTACTGCCTAAATGTTGCAAGTAAAACAACCACAGACTATATGGTTGAATGTATTTACAGGGTTTCCAACTTGTTCCCTACTTGCAATGCCCTGAGCTTCAACCCCCCACTCCCCCACCTTCCCTTCTCACGGGGAAAAAAGAAAATTGTTCAAGGTTATCTTAACCCCCATTGCTTCAATGGTGACCAGCGAATCCGAAAGAATATGTCAAAACTAGGGGACCCCCGCAATTGTGGTTTCCGTTGATTTCCCTTTAAGCCAATCTTAAACCGGGCCCCGAGCCTCCAAAAATCACACACCCACTCGCAAGCTAAAAAGGACGAATGTATCGTGGAAATCCAGGTTTTACCAAAAAGAATACACCAGCCAAATTTCGGGCCCCTCTTCCATGGATGTGATGCCAACATGTCTGGGGGTTGCCCCTTTTTTTGGAGGGTGCTTCGGGTCTTCGGGTCCAGGTGGGTATACTCCAGCCGCTTCTTTCAAAGGGGGACCCACTTTTCAGTTCCACCCTCCAAAAGCCGTCATTGGAGGAAGTTCCATATGGTTCTTGGGGATGATGAATTCCCTTTCCATTCTTTTCATCCATCGTTCTTTTCAACCTCCGATCGCTGTTTCCCCCTGGGTTTGTTTGATGTTTTTCTTTGTTAAGAAGGATCCTTTGAATGGACATGGGGAAGCTTCTTCCAGAATGGTGTCGTGGAGAATTTGGAGCTTGCCGTCCGTCAGGTTCTGATGGGTTTGAGTCGAATCTTCGAGATCTTCGACAAGAACACGCCGCTCGGCTCAGTTCGGCTCCAACTCCACCAACCAAACACCAGGGTAAATCGGTAGGCCTCAAAAAACTGGTCAACAAGAGAGAGAGAGAGAGAGAGAGAGAGAGAGAGAGAGAGAGAGCGAAAGAGAGAGAGAGAAAAAGAGAGAGAGAAAAAGAGAAAGAGAGAGAAAGAGAGAAAAAGAGAGAGAGAAAAAGAGAAAGAGAGAAAGAGAGAGAGAAAGAGAGAGAAAGAGAGAGAAAGAGAGAGAAAGAGAGAGAAAGAGAGAGAAAGAGAGAGAAAGAGAGAGAAAACAAAAGAGTAACAACAAACAACACCCCCCCTACCCCAAAATACCCAGTTTGTTTGGTTGGTATGATGTCAACGCCTGACTCAACAAGTTATCTACCATGAAATAAGTTTTTCCCGAATATTTACCCAGGCAAGGACTCAATTTCTAGGTTTTGGGAATGACCCTGGGAAACTTCCACGCGCAAGGGGTGGTGGAGGGTTACTGAGCATGTTGACTTGATCAACCCTTCAGTGGTTGCTTTTTTATTGCTTTTTAGTTTTTCAGGTCCTGTTCAATGTTCGTGAGGGACTGCAAGAAGCATCCTTCTTGGCTGCCACACCAAGGTTTGGGAAGACCTTCCAAAAAACGGGGAGCGCCTTCAGAACGGGACGCAAGGGTTTTTGCTGTGCCTTGGGGCAAATCCCTGTTGAAGGCCATGTTCGGGGCAGCGCCGAGTTTGGAGGTTGAGGTCAAAGACTAGGGAACCGGGTCGTTTGCCCTGGGGAGACTTGATGGTAGGCCAAAGTGCCGGAAGGCAGCCTTGGTTTAACCATGTGAGTGGATCCCAGTCAATAGGTGACCGGCCATTTCTTCTCTCACGGGGCAAACCACTAAAACCCTGGAAAGCGAACCGGAGCTTTGCTTGAAATCGGGAGTGGATCGAAACACGCCGTCCAAACACCGAGAATGGGCTTGTGTGAATTTTCAATCCGAGTTCACCGAAATGTGCATTTTTTTCCCAACCTGTTTCTGAGTTGGTGCTTTTGTAGCACGTGATTTTCTCCCCCAGGCCCAACAAGAGGCTAATAGGGCCTATTGGCAGTCTAATCAAGCCGTTCAGCTCCTGCTTGTTGGAACTGAAGGGGTTGAATGACCCAACCAATGTGGGCGTTTCCCCAAGTAGCCTGGCTGCCCTTGTTTCAAGCCCAAACCTCTTCGGGATCTTCCAATCCCCATCCCAAACCCCTTCCCCACTCCTTCCAACCCCCCCCCCCGGCTAAGCCATGCAAAGCGCGGATCGCATTTCAAGCGGAGACGCCCAGGATCCAAGACATCGTCCTGCCGGCCTTTGAGAAGCTCACCAAATCGGCGCGCTCCCTCCGGCCCTTGCCGCCCCGCGGGCACTCGGTTGCCTTTGCCAAGTCGCCGAAGATTGAAGTGGGGACCCCAAAAAACCTGAGGCCGGCCCTCAAAAAAGGGCCCCCTTCTTGGAAACCCCCTTTTGGCGCCCGGCGCGAGACCTTACGGCTCATTTGCCGGGTTCTAGAGGTCCGTGCACCTGGGAGTCAGGGAAGTAGATGGCACGATTTCCGGGTGGGTGGGAAGCAAAGGGGATCGGTCTTTCAACTGCATGAGACCAGGAGAAACAATGTAGTAAAACCCAAAGGTAAACATATCGAAGGGTTGCCTGTGGGAGCGACTTGTTCGCCATCCAAAACCCTCGTTCCTCTTTCTCACTGGTCCAAAGCAAATCGACCTTTGACCTCTTGGTTTTCCCCTTTTGGTCCCTATTTGGGTTCCAAAAAGGTTACTATATGTGCAGGCACTTTGGGCAAGCAATCTTTGTTTCTTCAGCGCCTTGGCCTCCTAATGCGTACGTGGCTTCAAACTGCCTCCTGACAACGGGGTCCTGGATCCCTTTCAGGGCCAGGCCTTGCGGCCAGGTTTCTTCGTTCAGACATGGATCCCAGAAACAACCCATGTTTAACGGGAAACGCCCCCTTTTTCAAGGACCGTTGTTGGGTTCCATGAGTTCATTTGCAGGCTTCTTGAACCCCTTGTCGCTTGTTGGAACTGGTTCCTTGAAATTCCAGTGACATGCCAGCTCTGAAAAAGACTTGGGTCACAGAAACGCAGCCTCACTTTGGCGTCCATCGCACATCTATATATATCTGAACCCTCAAAATTCCCTTAAACATGGGTTTGACCCCCAAAATTATGGGGTGATATCCCATTTTTATGGGTAGTTTGAGGGTCCAGGTATATAGACAGATGATAGTACCCAGCGATTCTGTTTCTCCAGGGTTCACCCTTTGACAGCAAGGAACATGACAGGTCACCTCAGGGTATTTGATATGATTACCTCTTGGCTTTGCCAAGGGCGCCTTTTTTCTGGTCACCGGTTGCGGAACGCCGAAGGGAAGCAGGAAGTTTGTGAACAGAATCTGCCCAACTGGATGTTTGCTACTTCACATACGTCTCCACATGTCTCGTGTATCACTCCCCCAAGAATCAGCCTTCGGCATGAGGTGCCAGCCTGGTCCGAAACGAAGTGGCGTACACCTTGCCAGCAGTTTGGGGATCCCATGTTCCACGACGAAAAACAAAACCAACAACAACAACACCAACCAGAAAAACAACATGGGCGTCCATGGGAAACCCATGGGTTCCCCATTGTGTTGAAACAAGAACATGACATGGAGTTAGCTCAAGCCAGACCCTCCGTGGCTATGGGAAAAGAGGGCACTTTTGTTTGAACCCATGGACTCTCTTTCCATCCCCTGTTTGTTGTTTGCACCGCCTCGTCTAGACCAACCAAGAAAGCAGAAAAAGCAGCGCAGTCGATGTGGCTCAGCTCGGGCGACACGATCCCAAAGACGACGCTTTTGAATGGGCTCCTTTTCATGGCCAGGCTTGGCCCTTTTGGGTTGCCTTTATTTTCGCAGACCAAATATTTTTGACTTGACAGTCTGAATCTGGCCAAGTTTTGTCAAGCTCGAACCGGATTCCGAGTTACCCTTCGGATTTTGTTCGCCAAAAATATCGGGGGGGTTCCTCCCACCAAAACAGAGCCACTAGGCCACAAATTGCAGGCATCGCAGCGTCACAAGCCTGAGACAAAGTGGTGTTCTCAAGCTCGGGGAGCCCCAAGAAGTAAAAATGGGTGGAGGTCCTTGAAGCATCCCTCAAAACGCGACTCAACAAGGGGTTATCCCAAGGATCATGAATTTTTCAGAGCGATCAGAGTGCTTAGATCAGTAGCTAGACCTTGGACAATGATTTCGCCTCACAACAAAGATGAAGACAACTATTTCCCTTTACAATCACCTCAGAAAAGGGTACCCTTGAACAAAGATATCCCTTAACCATCTCAAACAGTGGTTCCCCTCAAAAAGGACACACCCACATCTCCATCACGCTCCTCGATGGATGGCCTGAACCCCTCGCGACTTTGCGCAGTCCGTTGCGCAGGGGCGCCCACAGAGGTTTTGCGGATTCCGGATTTGCCGAAGGATAGTTGGTGTTGTTGGTTGCTTCTGGTTCCTTCGTTTTCCTCCGCCCCAGGAACCGTTGGGACCAATTCCTTTTTGAGGTCACAACCCTCCCCATGGAGATCCGGGCCCCTCCAATCCTTTCCATCGTTTGTTTATTCCATTGTTTGTTGATTCCCTTGATTTCATCCATTTGGATATGTTTCTGCCAGGTGATGTTTCCCGTTTGAGGAGATATTGGCTGGCAAATTATGGTGGCAGGCACCGAACACCGGACACTGTTCCTTTGTGTGGGGCTTGTTGACATCTCGATTTTCACCCGCGAAATCGGGTTGCGGAGCAAGCCTGTGAACGACCGAGCCTGAAGGAAGGGACTATTGCACCGCCTCCCGCATTTTTACGGTCCCCCCATCCGTTTTGAAGCTCGAAGGTTAAATGGCTCGGGCACTCGCGAGAACAATGCCTCTAAACTCCGCCAAGCAAACCAAAAGCAGCAACTTGTGGATTTCCCTCTGGAAAACCACCCTATATGCGGCTGACATTTGTAAGCATTCTATGGCAAAGACAACACAAACCGACAGGTCCCTCCTGAATAAACCCCTTTCTTTGCTGAATTGCCCACAAGAAAAGCTTTTGTGGGTTTCCCTCTAGAATCAAGCCCTTTGATTAGATAGCCCATGATGGTTTATCTTCCTAAAAGGAAATCAGCATGGATGCGTTGATCAGACAATCATGTGGGGGAAGCAGGGATGTGGGCATATTCTGCGGGTACTATTTCGACATGGTTTCCTTTACAGGGAATCCTCAAACATCCCCCGCTTTTCCTGTATCCCCGCTAATCTGTTTTCCCAAGTGGGTGTGGCTCGAAATCAAACAGCTGGGGTTACGCAGACCTTAGTCTACTTTTCCATTTGCCAGGGCAAGCCATTTGGGACCCCAATTTTCGAGCCACACCCAAGTCACTCCCCCCCTCCCCAATTTTTGAGCCACACCCCAGTCCCTAGGGGATCCCAAACTGGCTGGTTTCCCGGTGGTTGGATCAAGCGGTTGAAGCCCACAGGCTTCACGCGAGGCGAACCCATGGCGGTCCGTCCCCCGCCCATTTGCATGGGGCCCAGGTCGAGGAAATGTCACGCTTTGTGTCGTTGGTTTGTGCCAGTGTTTTGCTTGGACCGTCAAACTAGCCTAAAAAAGGGAAAGCACCCCATGACTTTGAGGAAGTAAAATCACATTTTTGGGGTAGTTTAAGGATGCAGGCAGTCTCTTTTTTTGTTCGGTTCATTTTGAATGAATGGCTGCAAAAAAGGAAGAAACTCAGGAAGCACGATTGTTGCTTACACCCCAGCGCCAAAGGTTCGGTTCCGTGGCTTAGTAGCAGAACCGAAAGTCAATGAGCTTTGGGCGCCCCAAATGGGGTTCGGGACATGGACGGGCTTCAAGTTTCCAACCGCACCTCTTGGGGAAGTCAGTTTCACCGTGGCGCACTTGAGGTCTATTGAATACCCAGCCCAGTACTGGTTTCCCATGTTCCTATGTGTTTCACTTAACAGCCGACCTGCAGAGTCAGAAAGAACAAGGCCCCCCCCGATTCTCCTCCAATGTGTTGGTGGCTTAGAAGATGGGCTTCCCCGCGTGTCAGTCTTGCCAGACTGTGTGTGGTTTCTCGTTAACTGTCATCCAAATCAGGGTGGTCTACACTTTCCATTCAAGGGCCCCCCGGAAAGATACGGGGGTGTCAGTTTTTGAGGGTACCCCTTTGTAGTTTAATGATAAATCAACGGGAAAACTGAGTTGTTTTTTTTTGGGGGGGGGGTCCCTCTAAGAGACACACCCATCCAGGAATGATAACCCAACCCAAACCGAAGCAGGGCCGGAGTCTCCTTGTCTCCTTTTTTCTTGGTTATCTTCCCATCTTCCGCAAGGTACCTTTGGCCTTTCCTTAAGGATGAACACCCAAGGCCCACCGAGCATTGGTCAACAGTGTCCTTTCCCTTCAAAAAACCTCCAGCGTCCAAACCAGTCCCGATCCCGCAAGTCCATGTCGCCCCTGCAATTCCAGATTATATTTTCCTCAATTGCCGCCAGTTTTCTTTTTTGGGTCTGACCTTGGAAGTATTTCTGGGGAATGTAAAGGACGAGAGGTTGATTCATGCCTTTGGGGAGCCATGGCAGCCAAAAGGAAACATCACAGATCTCGGAACCGGCATCAACACTTTGGCCGTCAACCCATTAGGGGCATCAGACAACCATGGCCCATGTGAGCTTCACGTTGCCATTGGAGTCACGGAGCTTGGGATGAAAGCTCCTTGAAGGCAAGCCTCATCCGTCCAAAGTGGTGATATCCTCAGAAAGGCTCGCTGTTATTTTTTTTTATCTCATTGTCTAAAGAAACACATGTTTCATTGTTCCCAAATTTCGGGGAGACCTTTGGACCCAACGGTTTTTTTCAAACCTCGATTTCGCCTCGCGCTCTGTTTTTTTCTCCCTCGATTCCGCTTCGATGGATGAGAAGCGAGGTGCGGACATGTTCCAGCGCTGGCTGCACAACGACTGCTATTGCCCAGTGGGCCAAGGCCTCGAAGATCCTCAAAGCGTTTCCGCTGAAGGCCGCTGAACGCGCGCCGCCGAAAAACCCACCCGGGCGGTTTTTGACCGAGTCTCCAAACCAAGGCATTGTGTGTGTGTTTCTTCTCGTAAGATCATATCTATGTGTATATATATATAGGGTTGACAAAATCTGAAGCATAATCCGAAGATAATACTACTTTGTGTAAGTGTTGGTTGTTGGACATGGATCCCCACTTTTGTCTGATGTCCACCCCTTGGGGCCCCCAATTAATATTTGCCTCCAAGAAGCACCTTAGAACCCCAACCCTTGTTCAGTTCTTCGGGGCAGGGGCAGCTCTCATAAAACCCACAAAAGAGAGGTTTCGGTGCTTATGGATGAGGTAACCTTCGTGGGATGGACTGGGGTTCTAAATAACCAGAACCTGAAGATGTTTTGTCTAGGTCCTCCAGTATTGCCCTTTTACCCTTTTTTGGGGAGGGTTCCCCTATTAGGAAAACAAAACAAAACTAAGTTACTAAAATAGACAGAACAGAAAAACAAAGTTGGTACCCTTCTTCTCCCTACTGAAGGACCTAGTTGTAGAAATGGGCTATTGAGGGAGCAGATCAGGAAGAGGTCTGAGCGTTCAACCAGTCAGATGGCTAGCTTGGGACTTGGAGTTTTTCGACCAACAAAAGTTTGAAAATTAAAGAGCCAGGGATACGCAGGTTTTAGTCTTTGGTTCCATATACCAAGGTGCCATTTTGGTACATGTTTTTGAGCCATAGCCAAGTGATTCCCCCGCAACAAAAAAGAAAAACATACCCACGCAAACCAGTTTAGCTTACGCGAGAGAAATGATGGCTTTGCCAATTTCATTCTGGGAGAAATACTGGGCGAAATCCCGCACCACCAAAGGAGAAAACCGTACACGTTGGGGGATGAACCACCACTCTCAACCGGGGCGAAGTGGGTTTTGTCCATCAACACGACCGCCGAAACTGATGTTTTGCCATTTTTGCAGGTGGTTCTACTGCATGGTTTACTTGGATACAGTAAACACTACCCCAAAAAGGGTACCTCAAAAACAAGGTACACACACACACCACACACCATTTGCACCTTTATAAGCATGTTAGTACCTGGACCCTCAAGCTACCCTTAGCAGTTGAACACCACCCATGATTTTGGAGGGTAGATCTTCCCGGTTTTTTGGGCTGACAGAACCCAAATTCTCGGGTCTGAGCCCGCTGAGATAGGCGACAGAGAGAGTTGACCTTGGGCCTTCCAAGGTCTGTTCTGGCAACATCAGCCGCAGGCGCGTGAGCGCGTGACTCCGTGACTCCTTGGTGAGCCGCCAAAAAAAGAACATCCGCCTAGAGACTTTTCGACACGGAACTGCATGTGTTTTGAACCTTTTTAATTTGTTTTGTTCTGTTCCGTGTTTTTTTTTTGGGGGGGAGGGCTGCAAAGCACAGAAAGTTCTTTTCGCAACCGCATGCTTTATTGCAACCACATGCCACGGCCTGGAAAGAAGAGGAGCTTGACATTTTCCAGCACCTGTTTTGAGAGTTGCTTTGCTTTGGACGTGATTCGCAGGAGCCTGGTGGACATGCACAGCTTGTGTTTCCCTTTTTCCGCGTGGAGCTGGAAGAGGAGTTTTTTTTTTTGCAAAATGGTCTTTTGTGTCTTGGGGAAGACTAAATATGGACCAGAATCTTGAGCCAAGTAAGTTCGAAGCGCGTGAAAGCGTGTGCTTTCCGCCTGGTCTGAGAACTGGTGTGACTACCGACCAAGCCACACGGAAGGGTCAAGCAGATGTTCTTAATGGTGGAGCTGCCGTCCGACTTCCAAGGGATATGGCTGGCAGAGACATGGCATCCGTATGCACTCGGATGAACGCGATGATGCCGAAGGAGTACCACAAGCTCTTGGAAATCACATATGGGTACGGCACACGTGTGGGAGCTGTTGCTACAGCCACGGAGTTCTACATGTCCAACACCTACACCCGCAAGAACACGGTGAGTGCCAATCCCCGAGGAGCTACTTCGCTTTGTGCCGCAGTCGCAGCAGAGTTGCCCATGGCCAGCGGCGACTGTGCTAAGCTGGCGACTGTGCTAAGCTCGGGATGTTCCTGAAAGATGACCGCAACTCAAAAGGCAGAACATGAGCCAATCGGTTTCCTTGGGTTCCCGACACACCAGAAATGGACCTAATTTGGGCATTTCTCAAAGTAGGGGGCCCCTTCGGCGATGGTTTCTCGATGTGTGTTTTGCAAACCTCCAAACCCAAAACAAATCCAGGTCATTTTCAGGTATGGCTTTTGGAGGTATGGATGCTTAGATACCACCAATGTTACCTGGCAAGGCAGTATATACCCCTTACATACCTCCAACTCCCATACCTTAAGCTTCGCTTAGCCTTCATAAAAAGGCCAGCCAAGAACCAAACCTCCATTTTGCCATACCTTAAGCTTCCCTTTAAGAGCCACACCGAAGAGAGGAACAAATCCGACAAATCCATGCAGGCCATGGCTCTCGACAGCCCGAGGCGAGGGGACGGGCCAGCTGGGTGCGAAACCCAAAAAATAATTCTCCGAGTTATTGTTGTTCGTTGCTCGCAAAGGAAAACATCGGGTGTGGGGGAAAATCAGGTTGCAGTTGTTTTTAAATAGTAAATCGCAAAGGAGACCATCAAAGAGTATGGGGAAAACCCAAGTGATGGGGTTTCTCTCGCAAAGGAAAGATATCAAAGGGTAGGGGGAGAATTGGGTTGTTCTCCTTTTTTTCAGGGATTCCGTTTCCGTTTCCGTGATTCTGGTCGGCGTGGAGAATCGTTTTGTTTGTTTGTTTTTTCGAGATCACACCCAGGTTGGCCTCAGCTTGGGTTCATTGGAGCAACGCTTGGGCCCTTGGTAGGGACAGGTCCACAGAGCGTGGGAAAGGGTCCTAGTTCACGTCCATGAGGCTCGCTTTTTGTACATGTCCCATGGTTTCCCTTGGGGGGTAGATGGAAAATCATGTCAAAGGGCGGGCCCTCGTGATTTCCATAGTTTTTACCCATGGATCCTACCCGAGGATGTTGTTAAAGTGTTGCCGGACCGTGTCGAGTCCAAAGTTTCGCTGAAAGCGCAGAAGTGTCGGGCCAAAACAATCGTGCAATAACGCCACTTCTGGTCGCTAACAGACGCGCAAGATCCTTTTAGCCCGCTAACTGTTGACCTGCTGATCGTTGGATTTCCAGATCTCATTCGAGTTTGGGGCTTCTATTGTTTGTGCTTTCCAGTGCCTCCGGTTACGACTATAGTAGGGAACCATGGTTTCTTACCTCTAGGTTGATTAATTTCCCTAGTTACCCACTATGATGGCAATGTGACCCCGCATGAATAAACCCGTCCTATAAAATTGGGGGGGATCTTGGCCTCAAAAGTGATCTGGAATCCCACTAGAAGGGCACGCTGCCAAAGCAAATTGAAGTTGTTCAAAAATCCACTTGGGCTCCGTCCACCCCTCCCTCCCCCCCAGCCCTTATGATAGGTTCTTCAATATCCACTTGTTGCTGGGGTATGATGTCAACCCCTGACTACAGGGTTAGCATCTCGAAGCATCGGGTGATCTCGACGTCCGTTTTTTCCCCTCTCGGCCCAGATGGGCTCTCTTTCACGCGAGGAAGACGCATATGGCCGTGGCTCAAAAAAAAAACGGTGCCCAAAGTGGATCCCCGGTAAGTGGCAACATGGACCAAACCTGCGGTTTGCCCCAGCTGTTTAATTTTGAGCCACATCTATATAGGTATATCTATGTATGTTCTCAAAATGAAGCACACCCAAGTGGACAAAAGCGGTCCCCCCGGAATTGTGCACAAATATCTCATGAACTGGGCGCATCACCCGCTAGTGACGTCACTAGTGGCTGTCGACTCGCCCCGAAAATGATAAACCATGAGGGTCCCGGCAAATGGCAAGGCATCAAGCCAAATGTGCGGAACCCCTTGAGAATTGCAGCCGCTGCACGGCATTCCGTGCGACAGAAAAAGGTCCAGACTGAAGTCGACACATGGTGTCAGACTGTGCTGTGGCTATCCAAATCCGTTCATTTGCTGAAGAATATGTTATATTACCCCTGTTGGTTATAAAAGGAATCGACCACAACGACTGGACCTTTTGTTCCCAGGCTGAAGCAAATGGAAGGATCACATCAAAAGCAAATTCCAAGGGTCCTGGCTTTTGGGTTTGGGGCCAACCATGTTAGTGGTACGCAAGGGTTCATGCACCTTAGGCAGGGGTTTGGTCGATGCCGGCTCTGAGCCTGGAAGCCCAATTAAAAGCAACGGGGTGCTTGACATAACCAGTGGATCCCCGGCTTCCGCGAAAGGCTTCGGGGGCTTCGTGGGGAGGGGTTTGGGGGGTTTGGGGGGTTTGGGGGGTCGCTTTTCCATTTCCCTCTTGGTTCTCAAAGGCTTGTTCCCTCGGTGAGCTACAGGCAAACGGAATCAACAAAAACGACCAAAATTTGAGTACCAAACCCTGGGTAGCGTTGTGTACCAAAAACGACCCAAATTTGAGCCGACCAGTGCGCTACTGGCTACGGGTTGCCGAGGGTCGGACCGGGTCCACGAATGGATTCGTGGCTTGCAGGGTCGGGAGGCCCAAAGGACTCGATGGATCGAGTCGTGTGGCTAAAACCATCACAGCTGGGTCGATTAAAATGTGCTTTGCATGGGAGGACCCTTGGGGAGAACCACTATGACGATAATTCTCAGATGGGACAAGTGAGCCATGGTCATTTGGGGCCTGCTGGGATTTGCATGTTTCCATCATTTTTGGTCTTATGGTGGTTTAGCGGTTGAAATCCAAATCCACTTAACCGCTTTAAAAAAAAATAAAAATAAAAAATAAAAAATAAATAAAAATAAAATTGCTCCCCGTCCCAGCGTCAACCAAGAAAACATGAGCCGTCTCCAAGAAGCTCCCAGGCCTCAAGTGATTTCAGAGTCTGGTTGAACAGAACATACCAGGGTTTGGGAAGGTTTGCAGCTTGGCCCGAACTACGGAATTATCGATGAAAATTGCTCCCATTAGGTTTTTAGGAGTGATTTGTGTGGCCTGAGATATTTCAGCTTGCAGAATCAAGAGGTTCAGGAAGTCAGGCCCTGGAAACCAGGGTTGTGGGATCACTCGGGGTTTATTTCCGCTGTGATACTTTTGGGAATCTCCCCTTCATATGGGGGGTTCGTCTTTTCTGTTGTATCACAGAAGTGGATTCCATGTCGCGCAGCCCTGCTATAAACCTCAGTTGTTCAGTGGCACCAATTATTTTTCCCTTCTTTTTTTTTTGTGGCTGCCCCACGACAAATGGTCTTCCCCCAAAAGGTTTCCCTTTTTTCTCCAGGGTCGCTGAACAAACTGAGAAACGGTGATGGCCCTTGTTGGGGCCAGCTTCGCCCTTGTCGAGCCTCGAGCGAGCCGCGCTGCGCGCGAATTGATCGCCTAAGGGGCGAGCAGCATCCCTGGTGTACGCTGAGAGGGTTGGGGCCTCGGCCTGGTCTCGCGATTGAGCTCAAGGGCCCACTCCCTGGGTGGACTTGAGTCACTTTTTGGCGCTTGCAGCAGTTGGGCGGCAACCAAATAGTTTGGACTTTTTTGGGTCCACTCAGCAAGTCAGAGGGGCATTTTCAGGTACCTTATTTTTTCCCGATCATTGGAAGTGGATACCTAGAGGACTGTAGTGTTCCATAACCTTTCTGTCCGCTTGGAAAGAGGGTATGGGTTTTGGAGGTGCTATACTACCTATAGGTACATACTGGCTTTATAGGTTTAGATGGTACAATTCCCCCATGTCGGTTTTAGCTTCCCCCTTGAGGGAGTCCAGCAACACCCGTTGACTTTTGATTCCACTATTGGTTTATGAAGGTTCGTATGGGCCTTGTTACAAACTCAGTGAGACCCGGTAGGAACCGAGCCATGCAACAGGTGGCCGTTTTGGGAATCGGTCCCTAAAAATCGCGCCGCGGAACATCGACGTCTTCAGGTTGGCAGCCCATGGCCTCTCTTGGAGATCACAAAGTAACGGTTCGGGCAGATGTGAAGTATGGGTGTGTCCTTTTTGAGGGGACCCCAAAATGGTGGTTTTCCTTTCGGGCTTCCGTATTATCACCCAAAAAGGGGAACCTGCAAAAACACACACACCCATATCTCTCAGGGCCTGGCTACCACGAATGGACATATCCCCTGAATATTCACTTGAAAGCAGGGACATCCGGAAATCCCACAAAGGGGGGCCAACATTGAAAACGAACAATGGCGGGCCCACCCCAAGACTCGCGGGAATCAAAGGTTTCTCCCGCTCGTGAGTCCGGAACGGCCTGGAAGCCTTGGTTCGAGGGAACCGAGTTCAGGTTTTGGATGGACGCAATCACTATAGACAACTGACATGAGTTCACCTTTTCGGTTTGAGAGAGATGGCGCTTGCGCATGGCACAGATTTCAAGGTTGGCTGAACATGGCGTTGGGCAGTCCTTGGCGCCCAAACCCCCCTCGCACCTCCCATTTTGGGGGCCATTTTTGTGGCTGGTTCTATGCTGTGTGGTTTGATTGGGATATGTGGGTGTGCCTTTTTTTGGTTGACCCCAACAAATGGCGGTTTTCCTTTTGGTTTCTTTTCACAACCTTCAAAAAAATAAAAGGACAAAACAGTAGCCTGAAAAAAACACGTGACCCCCACATTGGCTTTGGTGTTGAGGATAAGGTTCTGAATATGCGAATGCCTTTTGTTTTCCCTTTCTCGGGTTTGATTCCGTTGGCACGAGCCAAGGCTTGAGCTGTGGGGAGCGATGTATCCCGCTTACGCCTTGGCAGCCGGCCGGGGTCCCCAGCCAGCCGGGGTCAAAAACAAACCTTGGACCTGGTCAAAAAAAGGACCCCAGCTGCAACCAGGTCAACAAAAACTCTTGAACAGGTCAGAAAAAAAAGAAAGAAGCTCAGGTGATATCCCCAGCAGCATGCGGCGCTCTTTTTCGTTCCTCGCAGAACCCTGCGAAACCTTACCTCAGAACCCTCGCAAAACCCAGCAGAATCCTTGCTGCGGCCTGACCTCACAGACACCCCGGAACCTCCGGAACCTCCCTTAAACCTTTCACCTGGCCACCAGATCACCCCGAAACCTCCGGAACCTTCCCAGACCGAACTTGAACCCCAAACCTTACCTGGGCTGAGACCCCTTAGCTTTCAGCTGTTGGGGGGGAAAAACCCATGCCCCAATTGGCTTGAGGCGACCTATATTTTTAGGATGGATTGTTTTTGGGGCGACCCAGGAGAAAATCATCCCCCATGTGTATGTGTGTTTCTGCCTTTTTTTGTTTTCCGGAGAGGGAGTTCTTTGAGCGCCTCGAAAGTGGCTGGTTGAGAGCCCAGCGGGAAGACATGCCTACGATGCCCCTGTTTCAAGGGATCCCCAAAATTTGGCTGGTCTTTGGTGTGACCGATTCGCCCCAACAGGACCTTTTTCGAATCAAACCACAAAAGGTCGCACCAAAGGGCTGCCCGCCAAGGAAAAAAGAACCCTTACCACGGCAACAGTTTGGTACCTTCCTCAAACTTCGCATAGAACTCGGACCTGACCCCACTTTCTAGGAGCAAAATCAATGGCATTTTGGGCGGTTTGAGTGCCCAGCCCTACCTTCGACCGGGCACGAGGGGCTCCCAGCGGGTCCAATACCAACGCTAGCGTCAGGCTGCGGCTTCACGGGTACCGCGCTCTGGAGCGCCCCGAGCTGAGGGAAGGGCTACATGGTGTACAGGGGGAAATATATATATATATATATATGTGGCTCCAAAATTAAAGGGTCAAGGTTGCGCGGGTTTTGCGCTATTTCTTGAGCCACGGCGATATGGAGAACCCCGTGTTCCTCGCAAGATGTTGTTTGTTTGTGGGTAGTTTATTTAGTTGTTTGGTTCTGTTCGTTGGTAGTGGGAGCAAAAGCAACTCTGCCTGCTGCCATACCAAGGTTTGGGAATTAGGGACAGTTCCAGCCATTCATGTGGATATCCGCTCACTTGGTTTCTGACATTGTCAATACCAGGTTTTGACTCACCTCAGACCAGCAGCAAGCTCCCAAAGGGTAAATCAGGGGTAAGGCTGGTGCAGATCACCCTTTGGGTCCTTTAATGGTGCGTGTGTGTAACGTACCCAAAGCGGGCAAAGAAGCTGCCACGCTTGGTACCCATGTTGGCCCCGCACCAGATTTCGATCCCAGGCCGAGGGTGTCAATCCCAGGTTGAAGGACCAAAGTGACCGTGATCCATTTCCTAGGCGATTCGGATCTGAACAGCATAGACGGCACACAGCCGATTGAATTCTTTACATTCGGGTCTCTGGAGATCGACCTTTTAGCTTTTGTTTTTTATCCTTCTGGTCCGTGTTTGGTCGGCCCGAAATGTTTCCTTTGGACGAGAGAGTATTTTAAGCTTCAGGTAAGTTTGATTGGTCTATGGTCAACTTTGGGCTTCGGGACATGGGGACCTTTTTTACAAGAAACCTGGGGCCCAACAATTTTCCCTAGTCCTCACACACACACACACAAACGTAGAAGCACTCGCACACCCCACGCACACCCACCAGCACGCTCACACCCGCACGCGCAAGCACACGCCCACGCCCACACCCACACGCGCACACGCACGCATGAGCACGCACCCATTCAAAGACGCTCCCACTCACTCACCGACCCACGCATGAACATGCGCACGCACTTTCATGTGTGGGTGTGATTTTTGATAGGGGATCCTCATTCAGGTGTGGACTTATGTTTACAAATGACTTGTGAGGTGGTTCTTTATTAAGGTTTATTGTCAGGTGTGTGTGTGTGTGTCTCAGCCTTTGTAGGCTTTAATCGAGGTCCAACCCAGAATGGACGCCGAAGATGGGCGACGAAGTTGGTACAGGGTTTTGGGCTTGGGATGAACAGGTTCAGTTTGGTTTCACAGAGGTTTTGGTTGGTAGATTTGGGGTATGTCTCTTTTAGGGAAACATGCTAGTTGTCCTTTTGGTGTCCCTAAAACGCCACCAAGCAAGGGTACCCTCAAAAACAGTTGTGAGCAATGATCCTGGCTTCTGAAACCTGGCTTCACCCAGCGGGTTGCTTTTTTTTCCACATTCTTTTGGAGGCGTTTCCCTTTAAGTCAAGCACCAAACAAAAAGCACATGTTTTTTGATTGGGGCGCTTGGGGTCTGTTTGTTTTTTTTCCCCCCCGCAAGTCTTCAGCGCTGGAGGCCTTGCGCTTGCGGCACGGCTTCGGGACCGTGGGGAGACCTGGGTCCTCGGGTCGGGTGCCGGAGTGTTCTTCTGACCCTAGGTGTCCCTTTTAGGTTTTGTTAGAAATCGATGGGTTCCACTGGTTTTGATTGGTGTTGCTGCTGGTTGTCCAAAAGTTACCTATATATGCTTCTGACAGTTTACCGTTTTGTCAGATTCAGATGGATGCACTGGTTTTGATTGGTGTTGTTCCATATTTACCAGCAATTTGTCCAAAAGGTCGCCTGTATATGCTTCCGACCGTCTACCTCCAGTGGGTGTGAATGTTTTGCTTTGCATGGCTTTGTTTGGAGGGAGGTGGGCCCCTTTCAAGTCGACTATCCAAATTTATTCACGCATGCTTTCCTAACAAAATTTCTTGGCGAAGCCAGACTGCAACCGCAGAGGCACCAAAAGGTCCATACAGCAAGAGACAGGTGGGACAGTGGAAGCCCTAAATATTGCGAGTGCCACCAAAGCACACGTTGACACCATTCCTGTGGCATCCGATCCCCGCTCCCCCGATCCCCGCTTTTTCTAGGGGGGTCTTGCCTCAAACCTGGCGCCCAATCACACCTCCTAGGCGAGCGCCGCGGACCAGCGATTGCAGGTGCGGGGTGAGCGGAGTTGATATCACCCGGTGGCTGGCCCGCCATGAGACCAAAAGATATGGCCATGGGGCATAACCTATGACGATCCCATTTTGGGGTGGATGAACATCCATTTGCCACCTATTTTGGATGTTCACCGGGGGTACAGGGTCTTGACCCACAGCCATGTCCTCAAACACACACACGTACGTGTGAGGCTCTTTGAGGTTGTTTGGAGGTGTGGAGGGCATACAGGTATGAGTTTTAATCAGGGACCCGAAATGGGCTGACATTAGAATTTGGTGGGTTGATGTGCACCAACCACGTTGAACCCGTAGCCAAAACGCAATTGGGTCTGTGACAAAAACACGCATGCCGTTTCGAATGAGTTGGAAGGGAAGCTCCATGGAAATAATGATTTCGACGGGTTCAACTTAGGGTTTTGCATTTAAGCGACGGGGGATGTTTGAAGAAAGGTTATTTAAGTTTGTTTATACAGGGGTGGCCCAACCCTACCCAGGTTTGGATTTTTCAAGCGGGAAGTTGCAGACCAACGGGACTTGCGTCAGAGACTCAACTGGTTTGGAGTGGCGGTTCTTGCAAAAACCCGATTTGTTGGCCTAGATTGTTGGGTTCCTAGCCACACCACTCCTTGGGTTGTTGTATTTTGCAGAGTTCAGAAGGATTTATCACATATATCCCACTCATCGAACGACCAAGTAGCACGTGTTTTTTTTTGGAGCGGGGGTTCCAGAGTCGTTAAGAGGTCGTCCCCTGATTTTGCTGCACAAGCAAGGGCCGAATTTTGCTCTGTGAGACGAGATGCTCCAACAGACCATCATATGAAAAGTGCGACCTTTGTGGTACAACTCTGGAACCTTTGAAAGGTCACCCCGGTTTCCCATATGGCCATGGTCAAAAGCCCGGCTAGTGCCCCCAGTGAACATCCGATTCAATCCCCACTAAAATAGGATCTAAAGTGGGTGGTGCACCTATCCCAAAATGGTACCATTGGTTTTGACCACCACAGCCAGATAAGTGTTCACAAGTTAGGAAAAACCTGAGCATCACAACTAAAAAGGGGACTCCCCAACTCCAAAGAATACAATGCCAGGCTCACCTCTTCTATTTCTCACCCTCTTGGGATTCCATCAGTTTCCACTCAGGCAATCCCTGGTTTGAGACTGGTTTGAGCTGTGCAGCGGTTCTTGTGGGTGAACATGGGAATTGCCGCTCCAGACTCCTATCCAAACCACCGGGCTCCAATCCAAACCACCGGGCCCCAAGGCCCAAGTTGAGAATAAAAATTCAGGCCCCCTATGGACCCGTCCCCTCTGGACGCATATCCTTGGAGGGATGCTGATTTCTTGGATCCGCTTGGCCGAATCATGAGTCCTCGTTTTCACGCGCCGCGCCAGTTTGCCATCCATGGCTTCTGCCTGGGGGCGGCGGTGGTCCGCTTGTCCTACATCATCTGCGAGGCGAAAAACGCCGGGGGCATCTACATGGTTGTCGTTGGGAAACAGTTTTCCCATTTTTGATCTTATTGTGGTTTAGTGGTTGAAATCCAAATCCACTTGACTGCTAAAATGTGAAATGGTTGCTCCCCAAACCCAACGTCAACCAAGTCTATCTGCCTGATGTGACTCCTACCAGAGTATCTCTTAGGATAGTCAGGTATCGGGTTGGTGGTTTGGATTGGCTTGGGATTTGAGCGCCTGGTTGTAGAGGGTAGATGGCAAAGCCCTTAACCAAACCACCAGGACCCAAACCATCAATAGGAAAAAACAGCTGAGACAGGGGCCATTCCGATAGATGAACCACGGAGCCACCTAGCCCCGGTAGCCTCACCTCCAAACCTCAAAAGGCCCTAGGCTATTTTCTTCCTCTTCCAGGAAGTGCCGGGCTGAAAGGTGAACAGGTGGACAGGTAGCACGAAATGACACCCGGGTCCACAGGGTAGACTAGACCTACTTTGCCCCCCCTCCCAAATTCATTGGGGTGTGCTTTGGGTTCAAGATTTACGCATCAAAGTCACAAAGTCAAGGGACATGTCGAAGGACACTTCCCTGTTTCTGACTTGATACACCCGGAGCCCGTAGGCGTGTAACTTCTGATTTTCTTGAGATGCCATGCTGTGGATGGGACACATCGGCGCACCGGTAGTACCTCAGGGGCTCCTAGAGGTTTTTCCCCTTCGCATTGCCAGACCAAGGCGTACCTGTTCAACTCATTGCCTTTTTTCATTCCCCCTTTAACCAGCAAAGCGTTGATCCGGCCAAGTCACCGAACATCCAGATGCAAGAGCAACCAGTTGGGTCGTTCCTTTCTTTGAGGGTACCCCTTATTGGGATGGTTTTCGAGGGAAACCAACAGGAAACTCACCCTTCCAAGAGCAAAGTCGTCTTTACAGGGGTCTGTGCACTTCCATGTTCGGTGGGAGGGTAACCATTTTCCCCCTAAAAAACGACGCACCCAGCCGGGCTCGGATCGATGCTTTGCAGCCAGGCCAGCTTAGTGCACACCTCTCACGGGGACAGCTTCCTCCAGAGGATGGCGGGGGCTCCCGTCACCGTTGAACGCTGGTCTTTGGTGGCCCAAAAGGCCCGGTTCTGGGGCCCTTTTGCACATGAATCCCCGCTTTTGGGGCGTGTTCTTTCTGGGGAACGCACTTTTTCAAGCGGCCGGTGGACATAATTCAAGCCCCACCTGATAGATGTCCACCCTTTACAGGGTCCTCATACTCGAATGCAGCTTTTTCCCGGAGAACGCCCTTTGCTCACTCGTTTGGGGGCAGAAAGAGCAACCGGAATCCCGGAAACGGGGGGGGGGCAAAAAGTCTTTGGTTGCTCGATTTCATCCGGTTCCTTGTGCCTTGGGTGCCTGAAAATTGGGTGCCTGGACCCCTCAAACCCTCAAACATAACCCCAGAATCTTAGGGCACTATCCACCTGTTTGAGGGTGGTTTGAGGGTCGATTGGGGGTCCAGGTACCTTTTTCTCGGTTACTTCATCGGATCCGTCGGCTTAAGTGGATCCGTCAGCCAGAAACCAAGTGATTTTTGGTGTACCGGGGTTTCCTAAGAAAATGGAGTCACTGGGTGACAGACACATGTGGTTTTACCTTTTTGCGCGGGCCTGTGGCCTTCGTGAAATTCAGGTTGCCTGTCCAAAGCTGTTCTTGGAATGCAACCATCAAAACCGCAACCGCTTTTTGACACCAAAAAACGTCGGGAGGGGAGTGAACCAAAGTTTTGACGTTGTGGCAACGGTATTTAGGCAAGCGCAGCTCACCTTTGTTTACCAATTCCCTTGGCAAAGCCAGGTTTTTCTCTTTTTGTGGTACCTTGGACCCTCAAATAACCCTAAACTATTGGACATTCTCCCATCAAATTGGTGCAATATCCCGTGTTCAAGGGTAGTTTGAGGGCAGGAACAGTACCTTTGTTGGGATTGCACATGGAACCAAAGAGCAGCACAGTTCAAAGGGAAACCAGGTCCTTTGGTAAAGCTGGGTGCCATTTTTTGGCATTCCGGGCCGCTTCGATTTTCCAGAATGCATTTAGCACTGGATGGATGTTTTTTTTGGTTTTCCTCCCTCCCTTTTTTCAGGTAACCCTTGATTGTGGTTTGGATTGGGGATTTGAACCCCTGACAACTTGTAGACAATCCGAACCACTTGGTCAAAAGCCAATTTTTCTGATTCCTCACACCTCATATCCTTTTATTTGGGCGTGGCTCAAAAATTTAAAGAGTCAGGGTTACAATTTGGTTTTGGTTTTTTCCATTTACCAAGGGGCCATTTTTTGGGATTCCAATTTTTTGAGCCACAGCCATTTTGGACCCCTGCGGCATGAGGTTTTTGAAGCTCGAATTGAAACGGCCTCAAGGCCGGTGCCTCATACACCGCCTTCTTCCCCCTGTCCGCGGCAGCGTTTCTCTGCACCTGCCTGGGGGCCTTTTGCGTTTTTTCGGCTGTTTTTTTGCCGGCGGCCAGTCGCGTTTTTTGCCGCTTTGTCTTTTTTCCGAGTGGCCAGTCGTGTGTTTCTCCGTATACTCCAAACACCCGCTCTTTTATTTGGGGGATCAGTATTTTTTGTTGAAGCACCATGCTTCTCATGATGAAGAGCCAGCTTTCTCAATCAGGGGTTGGCATGATACCCCAACCAAGAGGGTGTTTGGAGGTTGCGGGGGTTTGCGTTTTTGCCTCGTTGCTCCGAGTCTATGAAAAAGCATTCGTCCAAACCACCTTAGGGTAGACCTGGTGAATTTGCTGCTGCGGGGACCTTGGGTCCTGTCCTTCAGGGGCCAAACGCGATTTCCCCTGTATTATTACACTTTGGTGCATTTTGCCTGGATGTTAGGACTTTAACTTTTTGCCAACTAATGGGTTTTCCATCAAACCACTAAAAGTTAAACTTTTGGCAGGGGAGCAGAAAGCAACCAAGTGTTACAGGTTTCAACCAATGGAACCGCCCTTTCAAAACCACAAGGGAAACTGGATCGAAGGGTTAGGCTCAAACCCCGAAGACTCCTTTCCACCCTTGAGAGGGCTCCTTAAAAGATACATTTTGCAACCGTTTGAAACATGTTGTTTTTTGAACACCAAAATAAAGGGAAACCACCATTTACAAGGCAATGTTCAGATGTATAATGTAAGGATCCCTGCTGAATTGGCTTGGAAATGCTGGGATGTCACCTCGTTGGGGGGGGTGGGTGGCGACGTCCACAGTGAAGCTTCCTTTCTTGGCGGGGGCGTTTCGTGGAATTTAAGGGCGAAGTAGAACTTTTTTCCAGATTCTATGGCTCGAAGAGGGCGTGGGCACCGAAGTTTTCGAGTTGACTTGCCCGCAAGGGCTGGCAAGCAGGGACAGGTATCTGCGCTGATTCTTTTCATGCGTTGAGACTTGTTCGTGCTGACTCTAGAGGTTAGTAGCCAGGCAATTTTTGGTTGAGGTTGCCCTGAAGTCTTCCGGGGAATTCCCAGACCTGTGAATTCTCTTGGAATTTTCCAATGAAAAGCGGGGCGTGCGGAAGCCATTCGGGTTGGCAATCCGCTGCTGTCGGGCCCCCTCTCTTTTGTGCAGGCCTCCGACCCTCAAAATGATCGACCCCCGCGGGTAGACCATTGGAGTCGCGAGACGGCGAGACAGACACGAAATGCTGCGGCCACAGACGTTTTTTTTTTTGTTTTTTCTCCTAAAAAAACAACCTCATGTGGGTATGTGTCACGCGGTCTTGTTCTTTTTCTGTTCGGATGATCATTCAGTGTCCCTGGACCATCAAACTACTCACCCCACAATTTTGGGCTGGAAAATCAACATGGGTTTAAGGCCTGGACCCTCAATCCAGCCTTGAACATGTAATATTGCCCCTAACTACTGGGGTGATGTCTCATTTTCAATTGTAGCTTGAGGGTCCAACGGAGCTTTTCTGAGGACATGTCGGGGTTGGCCCCAAGGCCAGCATTGGCTCCGCCTGATCGAGTTCATGGATCAGGTGGTGGAGAAGCCTTGGTGCGCCACTGAAGAGTCAGACCCTTGCAGTCCATTCTTTTTGCGTGCAAACCTATTGGGCCCGTGGCGCAATGGCAGCGCACCCCATTGATGGCGTGCCCCGTGGGGAGGTTGAGGGTTCAACTCCCTCCGGTGCCTGCTTGGCACAATGCCAAGCACAATGTAGCTGCAAGTCTTTGGATGCTGCGGAAAGGCGCCTGCTTGAGTGCAATTTGCGGCCAAACATTGTTTGAAAAACACGGAGATGGAAAGCACAGCTCATACATGACCAAAATGTTAACTACGCTCAGACACAGGAAGGTATTGTTCGTGTTTTAAGGGGGACTGATTGGACGTTTGTTCGCGCTTGAGAGTGAAACTTCGAGTGGCTGTGACCGCGTTTTATCTTTGCCCTGCGTTCTGCTTGGGTTTGGTTCCCTCTGAAAGAACTTGGGGCGGCAGGACGGCTGAAAAACCATTCCGCAGCGGACGATGTCTAATTGACTGAAGTGGCGCCTTGGGGGCTGGAGATGCGTGTCAAGCGGTCCTTATTTCATGCCCCTTCGAAGTATCGTCCCACCACCGAAACCTGATGCAAACCTGGCCATGAGACGATTCTCAGACCTCGAATGGGGAGATCAGCCCAGTTAGATTGGAGGCGGAAGTGGCACCACACACAGACCAAGGCACGCAGCGCAAGCGCTCCGTTGCGCGAGCGTCATAAAATCCGTGCGTGCCGCAAGCGCTCCGTTGCGCGAGCGTCATAAAATCCGTGCGTGCCCAAGTGGCTGCCTCGTTGGCAAAGATGATGGCGACCGTTGCTGGACCGGTGGACTGTACTCGCTCCACCTATGACGATAGCTTGCGGCACTCGAGAAGCCGCTCTGCATGCTGCTCTTCTATCGTTTGTTGTTGCGAATGTGTACGCGTTTAGTTTGCGGTGCCCAATTGGCAGCAGCCAGGGGCCCGAAGAAAAAGCGCTCCCGGGCCCGACGCTTTCCGCCTGGTGAATAGACTGAACCAAGGCCAGGTGCTCTTCCAATTTAACCAACCAAGCCCAAACAACAGATCGAAGGGCAACGAGTCACAGCACCCCCTTGAAGTTTCATTCTTAAATGCGAACAAACGTCCAATCAGCCCCTGTAAAACAAGAACGAAACCCTTCCTTGAGTTTCGAGCTCTATGTGTGTCTTAGCGCGCTTTGAACACACCATGTTGGTCATGTGTGAGTGCACTGTGCTGATTTCGCTCTCCTTCAGCTGACGAACGCCAGAGACACCCTTAGCAAACCCCAGGCACTGGTGCCGGCGCTGATGGCTCTTGAAAAACCTACCAAGGTCATCATGAACCTGTTTAGCTGCAAAAGCACGTTCTCACAGCGTCTGCCCCAAAACCCGCAAGTCTGTCGACGACAAAGAAGCTTTGCCATCGGAATCTTCAGCTGCAAACACAACAGGCAGTGTTTTCCAAGCAATGGACAACCGCAACTATTCAGCTCACCCGCTCTCACAGCGGGCTGCTGCACTGCTGGTTTGCCACTTCCTTGCTTGCAGTTGCCATCAAACAAGTTGTCGCAAGCAAGACCCCGCATAAGACACATATCAAACAGAGCGCCTTTCCGCAGCATCCAAAGGATTTCAGGCTGCGCGTGCGGAAAACGTTGTTTGACAAATGTGCCCAGCGTTGAGCGAGCCTTCTAAGTTCCAATCTTCTGGCTCACGGCGCATGAGGCGTGTAGCAAACATGCAAGGAGCTGGGCTCCCAGATATCTAGCTGGGCCTCACGGCGCATTCCGCTTCCATTGAGCTGAGCCGCTCAGGCCAATTGAGCCTCCAAGAAACTGCAGCTTCTGGCGCACCTCCCAATGCTGTTAGCTTCCAAAGTGTTTGCCCGGTGCTTCTCCTCGCCAACCCGAAAAATGGCCGGGCAAACACCTCCAAACAGTGGAAGCCGGAGGTCATGAACAATC